CCTGAAAGTTGAATTTTAGTGTGGGGTTGCAGCATTATCCAGAACTATTTTTCTCTCTTCTCTAAATGGTTGCACTGCAAGAAAATAATTTCCTTCTAGGGATTACTAAAGTAATTCTGATTATTTTACGATTTAATCTCTCTTTCCAAAGGGAAGATAATGTTCTTATCATTTACTAATTTTATTAATCGGTGCATTCACACCAAACTCTAAAACCTGTGAAAATCTCCCCAGGTTTGTCTGCTTCTGCTTGCTTCGAAATGTTCCTGGCCAGTGAGCAGAAAAAATTATAGGGGGGCCAAAGGGGGGGTGGGCAATGATTGGCTAAGGGTGGCAATGGACACCCCTGCACGCTTCTTCAAGCTCTGCCCCTGCTCAGCTGTCTTGTATTCAATACTTAATAAACTTTATGTTCTTCCACCTCATGAGAGCTGGTTTATGAATCATTATTTCACTTCTATAAAAAAATTCCTATATCTTATCCAAAAAAATATTCCATTATCTTAATGTTTATTATATTAGTTTTAACCTGTCTCTCCAGTTGCTTCAACATGTCTTTTATTCTTTATTCAGATTGATGAACTGCTGCTTGTCAGAGATCAGCTGTGCTTCTTTGGGCTCAGCTCTGAAGTCCAACCCCTCCCATCTGACAGAGCTGGACCTGAGCGTCAATGACCTGGAAGATCGTGGAGTAAAGCAGCTCTGTGGTTTTCTCCAGTCTCCCCTCTGCAAACTACAGACACTGAGGTCAGTCACCATGTTTTAGTTTAGTGCTGATATTTCTGATGATAAAGTTGTGTTGACTTTAAACTGCAGACATATGGCTGATTAGGGGGGAAAGGTTTGAATTCAACTTTGGTAGGGACACCATTGGTCTGATGTCATTGGTCCTATGCAAAAATATGCATGCTCTTTTTAATGCTTGATGTTAAAATCAGGAGGCATTTCATTTAAAGAGAAAAGCAGCATTTTTTGCTATATTTATACAAATTTTTTCATCACTACACATACTAGATGCTGTTTATCAAAGTTTGAAGCATCACCGGCTCTGATGAATGAGGAATTAGGATGTTTCCACTTTGAAAGGGGTTTCATTTGAACTCACCAGCAACTAAGACAGTAGGTTAATATGTGCCTATTTAACCAAATATAGTTTAAATATGTCTGTTATATGTGGATTCATCCTGTATTTTCTTTTGAAGATTTAGAATTGTGCCGAGGTAAACTCCACTGTTATTTTTTTATCTAATATGCTCTCTTTGTATCAATCAAAATAATACATTCAAGGGATGGCAAATAAATATTGTATTTACATGAGTACTGGAACTATAAGAGGAACTGACACTGAGCTTTTTAAATATTAACTTCACTATACAAGTTGTACATGTGGGCTGTAGTTACCCTGTGTAGCCCATTTTATGTATTTTATCAAGGGCTGAAACTATTTATCACATTAATTGCTTATTTGAATAATTGTCAACTAATTTAGTAATATATTAATCATTAACTGGATAATTAAGACTCTAAAACATGCCTTTAGCTAACAGAACAACCCACTTAGAACCCTAACCCTAACCCTAACCAGGAATTGTATTATATTATACAATTATGATTGTAAAATATATGTACATTTTGCATTTAATACCATATTAATACCATAATATGACCACTCCTCACTAATTTCTATAAAATCCCTTACACCCTATTTTACACTAAAATTATCAAAATCTTAACCTTTAGTAACAACACTCCTATCAATATTAGACCTAAAAAATATTTATTTATAAAACATTTCCCTCTACCTACCTCACTTCCCTCAGTTTAGAACTGCAGGGAGTGGAGGGGGCAGAGTTCACATGCCAGACTGGCTGGGGTCGACTTAGCCCATTCCAGGGCGGTTTACCCTGACTCAGCTTCCTCCATTGAACTAAAATTAATATACTTATCTTTAATTAATCATAACCTCCACCCTTATACTACACTTATAGCACATATCACCTTACCAGACCAATAAGCTACTGACCCTAATATTAGTGGAATCCATGCCTTACCCTAACACCTGACCCTTACCTTAAAATTACACTTAGACGATCCATAGCCTTGACACTTGCCCTAAACCTAATTTAAGCCTTTACTATCAACTTACCATACCAATTAGCTACTGACCCTAATATTAGTGTAATCCATGCCTAACCCTAACACCTGACCCTTACCTTAAAATTACACTTAGCCGATCCCTAGCCTTGACACTTGCCCTACACCTAATTTTAACCCTTACTATCAACTTACCAGATCAATTGGCTACTGACACTAATATTAGTGGAATCCATGCCTAAACCTAACACCTGACCCTTGTCCTAAAAAATACACTAAGCCGATCCCTAGCCTTGACACTTGCCCTAAACCTAATTTTAAGCCTTGCCTTAACCCTAAAACTTAGCCATTACTCTAAAAGCTAACCCTAGTTCTCCAATTTCTACAAACTGGCTTGGCTATTGATCTGAGAGATACCAACGAACGTGCGTCGGCCCGTGCATTGCCTTTAATCCCCTAACCAACTGCTCTAGTCATCGGACTGGGTGGGGGGGGTCATCGAGAGAGTGTCTAACGCCTAACCAGGAATTGTATTATATTATACAATATTATGACTGTAAAATATATGAACATTTTGCATTTAAGGTTAAAAAAAATTCAGTCAATATTCTGCACCTACAACACCTCAAGTGTTTCACCTGGTTTAGTGTCATAAAAAAAATCTTCTGGGTTCCAGAAGATGGCGGCGTAGTAAGCGGTCGACTTCGTTGAGCTGCGCACCATATATTTTATATCTGAGCAGAATACCA